AAAAAAAAATGTGAAAAGTGCCCAAAAAACTATTCTGCTACCTTAAGCTATTTTGATATTACGTTGCGGCCATGCAACGTATACCACGACCAAGAGAGCTGCATAAACTGCAGCAAAGGTAGTTCAGACACACTTTTTAACGTATGCGCCAGTAATTTGCAATCCTGATCTTCATTTTCTAATCACTGCTCAAATTCAGTATGCAGCGACTAGATCTGAACTTGGTAGTTATCCTCTCATTATTGACATGAGTTCACAAATGTTGAAGTATTATGAAAGGCTGAAATCAATTAAAAATAATCATCTGCTGGACTGTGCTTTCAATACTGACAATAAAATGAACGGTAATTCTTGGACAGCATTTGTTATTAGTGATTATAATTAGTGATGAATCTAACACTATAGAAGTCAAAACCAAATTCAAACAAATTTACTATAATAAAGTCTGGTTGCCAATGGTATTTAAACCCGAAAATAATAAGCTGCGTACTTATAACAAGTTTTAAAAAAAATTGAATTTGAACCATATTTAGAAAAAATCAAAAATGTGTCAGCTTCACTAAGTTTGGCATTTCTTCTCACTCGTTTCCAATCGATAAACTTAGATACATGTATAATAAAACACCTCCAGAGCAAAGGTTTTGTTTTCTATGTAATGAACAGGCTATTGGGGATGAAATTCATGTATTACTCACATGTAAAAATAGTCAGATTGTACAAGCTCGTACTAAATTTGAAGCTGAATTAGCAATTTATGATGACAACATTATTATCAACTCTTGAGACATTCAAGTGCTTTCTAAGCCCAAAAGATAGCTTAATTGTCAATTGCTTGGAAACATTTATTGATTTTATTTCTAAGCTTTAGTTTAGTCTATTTTTTTTTTCTTGACCATTGATTTATTGTATGTTTTTTTCATTCATACTCAATTTTGCGTCAAATAAATCAGTAATTTTAATGAAAATGAAGTACAATATTCTTAGTAATATTGACACCTGTTGTTTAGTATGGTGGACCCCCGCAATTAAGTACAAGAGCATTGAGGTTTAAAATTAAAATTGTTTTCCATAATAAACATGAAACCATCACAAGTGGCCTTATAAACAGCCTTTTAATTCGTAGTGGGGGTGGGCGGCGTAAGCCGGTGCTTATTTTTATTACTGTCTGACCACCCAGTTTGCCATTCACCATGACCATTTCCATATATCAGATTTTACAACCTGTTCTAAGGTGTGTCACTTTGAAATAAGAGTTTTGACATGTGGCAAATGTCCAACTGTCTTGAGTAATAAGATTGGCTAAATTTCAACTAGAAACAGGTAAACTGGTATACCTTTATGTACGAAGCCAGTGAATGTTATTCAAGCCAAAGAAACTGCATCTATTTATATAAATACACATGGACAGAGAATATTGTTTTGGAGCACTAAATGTGACAATTTCCCTACTGTCTGTGCTGATTTGATGGGTTAAATCCACCTTAAATATACCACACCAGCCACATAGTGCCCGACGAGGAGATTACAAAGGACTGAATTAGAAAAGTCAAAGACAGTGAAAAAACAAACAAAAAACACACAGGCATATAAATACTAACTTTCTAGGATCTTTATTGACTCCAAGTAATCAAGAGTAGAACGAGATGAATCAACGCTATAGTCCGCCATCTTTATTTTAATATTGGATGCAACCATTATCTTATCGGGTCATATTTGGAGGGGAGTTAACACCCATGTTTTTTGTAAATGCCTTGATCAATAAGAGTCCAAGTTACAGGGAACATTATTTTGATTTTTCAGTGGACCAATAAATGCATTTGACAGGGTAATATAAAAACTCCATCACAACAGCAATTAAAACAGCTTGCTGCATTATAAGTATCATTTCCCTGTCAAATTAGTGGTTCATGCTTATTTGAAATTTGACTTTTCAGGAAGCTCTTAATGTTTATTTTGATGGTGGAGATCCTACTCCACAAATTGATCTTGATTCTCATAGCATGTCACCATCAGGATCCTCTGGAAATAGTTCACCTGATTTGGTAGTAACATATGAGTAAGTTTATTATTATTATAATTAATATATTATTATTATTATATCTGTCACTGTAACGCCATAAGTTACAGCATGCCGTAAGTTTGCGGTATTTTATGGGATATTTTCATCCAACCATATTAGGAAATACGAATTCCAAATATGGAATGATTATGCTCATAAGGGTCTTCTAATAATAAAAACAAACAAGTCTGCCATCAGGGTTTGAATGTACTCCAAACAAATAAGTTTGCTGATTCTGTTTGGATTTCGGCATTCCCTTGATGTATCATTGGGAGGAAAAGATTTATAATAATAAGGTTATTACAAGGATACTGCAAAGTATTCACTCAGACAGTATGCCATCGCATGCTCATGGGTTTGTGCATACTTTTTGATATCCTCGTAATGACCTCTTATTATTACCCGTAGTTCTTATTTTGATAAAATCCAACTTAAGAAAGGTCAGCTATAACAGCTGTAATTATAGCTGGTTATTTTTTACAGCTTTCTCACAAGACTTTCTCATCCAACTTGTTTTGCACTTGTTTTCCTTAATTATTCACTATTTCTTGAAATGAACTCTAATAACAGACAAAATTTGAGTCAATTTTCAGTTTTTACTGCAAATAATTGGCTATTTTTGTCCCAATCTTCTGAAGGAAAGTGCAGACTATAAATGAGATGGAAAGAAAGAACTGGTAATGAAAAGGTTAAAGGGCAGTGGTCGTCGCGCAGCTCGTGTTCGAATTTCATGTAAACAAACGATGTATTTTACACACATTGTATACGTCGCCATGAGTCCCATATAGAACAGGATGCAGAGCTACGACCATTGCCCTTTAATAATTTGGTTGGAATTATGTTTTTAATGAATTTTAAATTAATTATTAGTTATACTGTGTTAGACTTTCAAAGCAACAGCAGTTGTGCTATTCTGCCAGCAAGCATAATAGCTATGCGATACTAATGTGTTGATTGCATACTCTGGAATACTTTATTTTCACTGGAATTAATTTTCGCTGAAAAGGCTTTTTGGGTGTTTTGCTTGGAATTTATTTTCACCGATTTTTGACGAGTTTAATGTGAAATATAGAAAAATAATATATTCGCTGGGTTTTATTTTAGCAGAATCATCCCTTCAGCGAAAATAGCGAAAATAAATTCCAAGCGAAAATAAAAAGTATTCTACAGTATTAAATAAATGTGGAAGTGTGACAGATTGGATAAACGTTTTACTGTGGGTAATAATTATAATCGTAGTAAATTCACTAACTTTACCTAA